GGGGACCAGGTGCGAACCCTACCCCCTACCCCCCACGATTTCTGAGGGGGAGGGTGGGGCTCACTTTGTTCGGGAGCTCCCGAGCGAAGTGAGCCCCACCCTTCGTGGGGGCCACGTTGCGCCAGGGGCTTTTGATCCCTGGCCGGGGCGCGGCGGAGAACTCCGCCGCGGCCCTCGCCTGCCGCCCCCCTGAGGAGGAGGAGGAGGAGGAGGAGGAGGAGGAGGAGGAGGAGGAAGGGGAGGAGGAGGAGGAGGAGGAGGAGGAGGAGGAGGAGGAGGAGGAGGAGGAGGGGTAGGGTTCGCGTGTGGCCCCCTGCGTGCCCAATTCCTGGAGTTGGAGCGGCGCCGCACTCGGGCAGCCACCGGCCCGGCAGCGGCGGAGGGCGGCGGAAGGGCGGCGGAGGCCGACGGAAGTGAGGCGAGGGCGGCTCTCCGCCGGCGGAGGGCTCGGCGGATGTTGGCGTGAGGGAAAGGTGCGGCCCGATAGACTCAGGAGAGGAGACAACACACAGACACACACACACACACAAACACAGAGACACCATTAATCCTCGGTTCCTCCGGAAATGTGGGGACATGTGGGAAGTGGGGGGGGGGAAGGCAGAAGCCCAGAACGTATGGGAACACATGGGGAATGGTTTCATTCGTCTGTATTCATTTGTGTGTCCTGGGGCCCCTTTCATAGACCCCCAATGGCGCGATGCCAATCCTAGGGATGCGACAGAGGAGGCGACAGGCTGTCCTGCCGCTGGACCGTCACCAACCCTCCCTCTCCTGTGAAGCGAAGACGCTGTCGCGGCCGAGGGGAAAGCGGGGGAAGGAGGAATCCATCACACACTGTGCCACGAGGTAGCGCGCCGACTGAACCTGCCAACGAAGCAAGGATCCGCCCCAAGGGCTGGCAACATTTGTAGCGTTTAAGGCTTTGTGGAAGCCGCAATGTGAGCGGCGGAAGCACATCGAGTTGTAGTTGCCGCCAGTGGCGCGTAAGCTGCCCGCGTAAAGGACGCGCGCACGGGGGCGCGTCAGGGCCCGCCGCTTCCGACGTGGCATGCCGCGCCGGCTGCCCGCGCAAGCCACCGTCAAAGGTCGCTAGGCTTGGCATCGCTCGGTCGTGTACAGTTTTCTCTCGGCGAGGACCATCGAGGAGCATCCTTGATCATTTGGCGAACAACCACGCACGAAACCGAACAAAAACACAGGGAATGTACGTCCGAGCGATGGCAGGTGTGCCATTTCGCGTAAGAACCATTTCTCGGACTGAGCCAGGTTGAGGATAAATCGTTCCAGAGCCTTTCGGAACTCCTTGAGATCGTTCTGGGACGCTCCGAGAAGTCCGCGGCGCCCAGGGCGTCCTGCAGGGTTGCGCCAGATCTTAGGGATTCTCGATTTCTCCTCACCCGACGTTGTCCTCGTCATGGCTTCGTCTCAGAGCGGGCTCGTGGGGGGACAGGCTCTGTGGAAAACTCGGGCCAGGGTGAGGAGGAGGAGGATGGGGAGGGGGGGGGGGGGGGGGGGGGGGGGGGGGAGGGGGGGGAGGGGAGGAGAGGGAGGGAGGGGGGAGGGAGGAGGGAGGAGGGAGGGGGGAGGAGGGAGGAGGGAGGAGGGAGGAGGGATGGACGGAGGAGGAGAAAGAGGAGGAGGAGGAGAGGAGGAGGAGAGGAAGAGGAGGAGGAGGAGGAGGAGGAGTAGTAGAGGAGGAGGAGGAGGAGGAGGAGGAGGGGGAGTAGGAAAAGGAGGAGGAGGAGGAGGAGCTAGAGAAGGGGAGGAAGAAGAGGGGGAGCACCTGGCTTCGACTTTCCTTTCTTTTCGGCGCTCAGCTGACAGCCTTGTTTAGGGGGGTCAGGGTCTGCGGTGCCCGCCGTGTGAGTTGTTTCTTAGCCTGCGCGGCTGCGAGGCGTCGCTTTGCGCCCAGCCAGCAGGCTGCGGGCCTCCTCGTGGTGCCTCGGGAGGAAGATCCTCCTCCTCACTCTCCTTCCTCCTCCAGCCCTCCCTACCCTCCTCTCTCCGGCCTCCGTCCCCTCCGCCTCCTTTCTCCTCCTCCTCCTCCTCCTCTCCTCCACCCTCCCTCTCCTCCCTCCCTCCCCTCCACTCGTCTCCTCCTCCCTCCTCCCCCCTCCTCCCTCCTCTTCACTCCTCCCCTCCTCCTCTCCTCACCCTCCTCCCCTTCTCCTCCTCTCCTCCTCCTCCTCCTCCTCCTCCTCCTCTGCTTCCTCTCCTCCTCCTCTGCCTCCTTCCGCCTCTGGCCGTTCCCCTCCTCCTCCTCCTCCTCCTCCTCCTCCTCCTCCTCCTCCCCTTGGCCGTTGCTATGCCCCAGGGCCGTCATTATCTACAACATGCTCAGGGCGCGAGACAGCCACACATTATCGTCGACCATCTGTGACATGGGGGAAACCACGGGAGTTGGAAAGGAAGACGACATTTTGAAAGGTATGGCACAATATTGGGGATCCTGGGAGTTGTGCATGTTTCTTTGTGTGCGTCCCTGGGTCCCTTCACTGCCTCCCGCACCCATGCCTGACTCTGGACGTGGGCCTTGGAAACGGCAGAGCCGTTTCATCACCTGCGCCGAAAAGTTGCATCTTATCTTGATCATGGCAACGGCTAAACCACCCGAGGCCCGAGGGGGGGCCCGAGGCCGAGGCGGAAGATGTGCAACAGGTCTGGAGGTCGCGAAAAGGGGAGGGGCGATAACGGGGGGGGGCGATCATGGGGGGAGGCCGCGTAAGGGGGAGGGGGGGGGGGAAACGGGAGGGGCTGCGCGGGCTGCCCAGCAGGGGCTGCCCCCGATTGGGGCCCCAAGAAGCCCATCAAGGGGCTCCTCTCGGGCCCGTGCCCGAGAAGGGCACCTTTCTCTTTCCCCCCCCCCCCCCTGGCCCCCCTTTTTTCCAGAAGGGGAAACGACACACAGACACAATTCATCGTCGATTCCCCAAATAATATTGGAAGATATGGGAAGTGGGGGGATGACAAACAGCGAGAAAATATAGGAACTATGGGGAATCCTGTTAGTTGTGTATATTTCTTTTTGTGTCTCAGGGCCCCTTCACTTGTGTTGCCCCCAAATGAGTTGCGCCAAGTAAGAGCCGTATCGCCCTTCATTCATCGCCCCCCATTCATCGCCCCATTATACGCGCTCCAAGACAGCTTTGCCGCACATCTTTCCTCTACGGTTAAGTCGTGTCTGTCCCTCTACAGGGGGAATACTAAAAATAGTAAAACATAGTTTGGGGACGATTTGTAAAGTATTCTGGGGGATTTGTTCCCAACCATCCTGTGGTGTTGGGTCTTCGTTTTGAAGAGACGGTCCCCGCGTTCTTCCTCTCCTCATCCTCCCCCTCCTCCCCCTCCTCCCCGTCCTCCCCTCCCTCCTCCTTCTTCCATGCGTTCCACCCACCCAGCACAGCGATTCGTGGCCCCATAGGGAGCTCCACCGAAGCCCCCAGTGGCACTGCCCGCATGCGTCCGCCACCAACCAACACAGCCCTTGCTCCTTACGTTTCACCCACCCAGTACAGCGCTTCGTGGCCCCATAGGGAGCTCCACGGAAGGTCCCAGTGGCACCGCCCGCATGCGTCCGCCACCACCCAACACGGGCCTTGCTCCCTGCGTTTCACCCAGTACAGCGCTTCGTGGCCCCATAGGGAGCTCAACCGAAGGTCCCAGTGGCACCGCCCGCATGCGTCCGCCACCACAACAGGGCCCTTGTTTCTTGTGTTCCACCCACTTAGTACAACGCTTCGTGGCCACATAGGGAGCGCCACCGAAGAAGATATCCACACTTCCGGTATTCACAACTGCATATGGTTGGGTCTTTCGCCAGGCTAATTGGGTATCGTTTTTCCATTTGTTTCAATCATTTTCCGTCCAAAAGCAGCCTGTATCGGGACGTGCCCGACCTAACCCTGGGCAAACCCAGCCGGCTACCAACATCGGCGGGAAACTTTCGCCAAACCTTTCCATTTCCCTTAGGACCCCTTTCGGTGCAAGCACCGATTGGGGAAAAACCTCGTCGCGCATCCTTCCCTTACGGTTAAGCCGGGCTTGTCCCCCTACAGGGGGATTTTGGACGAAACATGAAAGATACCCAAAACATGTTCAAAATAAAGATGCTCAAAGATACCCCAAAAATAGTCCCCAGACGATTTTGAGCTTATTGGAGAGGCCTGACGGCCGGTGCCGCCGACCCTGATCGAAAGGGCTAGGAGTGGGGGGAGGAAGCGGAGGATGAGGATGATGGAGGAGGAGGAGGTGGAGGAGGAGGAGGAGGAGGAGGAGGAGGGGAAGGAGGAGGAGCAAGAGGAGGAGGAGGAGGATGAGGAGGAGGAGGAGGAGGAGGAGGAGGAAGAGGAGGAGGAGGAGGAAGGAAAGGAGGAGGAGGAAGTGCATCCTTTGTGTGCCCGCTCGAAGAAAGCGCGCCCCGGGAGTGTGATATTCTGATTTGGGACGTGCTCCCGGAAGAGGAAGAGGTGCATCTCGGGAGTGCCCGCTCGAGGAAAATGCGCCCTAGGGAGGTGGTATTTTGACTCGGGGCCCGCTCCCGGGACGCCTCTGCGGGAGGAGGAGGAGGAGCAGGAGGAGGAGGAGGAGGAGGAGGAGGAGGAGAGGAGCAGGAGGAGGAGGAGGAGAAGGAGGAGGAGGAGGACTAGGATGAGGAGGAGGAAGTGCATCCCGTGCGTGCCCGCTCGAGGAAAGTGCGCCCCGGCGGGCGTCGTATCTGCCCCGGCCCCCCCCCCTCCCCCCCCTGCGGGGAAGGGATCAAAGGGAAGGGGCGTCCCTTCGACTCCACTACGACGTCGTTTAATTTCGCTTTGGATAGCGCGCTTGAGGAGGTGAGCCCTGGGAAAGGGGGAGAACGGAGACGACGGAGACGAGGAGTCGAATGGAGAAGCCCCTCACACACGCCGACAGGGTCGGCGGATTTTTGGAATTTTCCCTCCTGTACAGGGCTTACGGCACGAGTTAAACTTACGGTGTTTCCTGCGCCCCTGTGGCCGGAGGTGGAGCCATGCGGCCCGCGAGGCCCCCGAGGAGGCCTGGAGGCGCGCAGCTCGGGGAGAGGGCCCGCGGCCCGGCCACCGGCCGGCCGCGCCGGGCCCCGCGGCTCAGCCGCAGGCGCCTGTCCATATGGGGAGGATCGGGGGGGGGGGGGGAGGGAGTTATAGTGTTTTTTTTCTTGAGTGGGGGACGAGCGGAGGAGGAGGAGGAGGAGGAGGAGAGGAGGTGGAGGAGGAGGAGGTGGAGGAGGAGGCGGAGGAGGAGGAGGAGGAGGAGGAGGAGGAGGAGGAGGAGGAGGAGGTGGCGGAGGTTGTGGAGTGAAGGCTCAGACTGGTTGCGCTTCCCTGGGTACGTGCCAGTAGGAGGAGGAAGGGAGGAGGTGGAGGAGGAGGAGGAGGAGGAGGAGGAGGAGGAGGAGGAGGGGGACCAGTGTAGACCCGAGAGTCACCAACGATATTGGAACCAACCCTTCCTCCGCGCTCTCTCATCATGGCCTCATACACCAGATCGTTTCCACTGAGGGAGCAGCCTCTTTGTCAGACAACCGTTTGAATATCCTGAAGCATGCCAAAACATTGCTCTCGGGATTAACGCCACGGATCAACCTGACTATTGCGTTTTGACGATCCAAAATCGTGCCAGAACGCCATCCCTGGGACGAATCAGCGCAACTGTTGCACCCTCATAGTCCTGATTGTCTCCGAAACAAACATCTTGGAACGCTGAGCATTGGAATCCGCGAAGCTCTTGCATTATATGTGTATGTACATAATATACGCCTATGTATGTACAATGAAGACGAATGTTCGCGGCACTCAGTCGACATCTACAGTTCGACGAAGAACCGCCCTCAATCCGTGAAGTGTTCGCAGTTGTTTAAGACGGATGTACGCGGCGTTAAAGCGAGAGCCACATGTTGACAACGTGCCGCCAGGAGGAGGAGGAGGAGCAGGAGGAGGAGTGCGGAGTAAGGAGTGAGGAGTGAGGAGTGAAGAGTGAGGAGGAGCAGGAGGAGGAGGAGGAGGAAGAGGAGGAGAGGAGGAAGGGAGGAAGAGGACGAGGAGGAGGAGGAGGAGGAGGAGGAGACGGAGGAGTGGGGAAAAAAGAGGGACAGGAAATGGAAGAGGACAAGGAACCTGAAAAGGGGGGATGAGGACGAAAGGGAGGATGAGGAGGAGAGGGGGTGGAGGGAGGGAGGAGGGGGCCGGCGCTTCGAGCGCTCGCCCCCACAGCATGCCCCAGGAACGGGAGGCGCAGGGGGCCGAACACTGCAATGCACGACCCAAGACCAGCTCCTTACCCCGTAGACGCGCTAACGGTGTGTTAGCTAGCGGCGAATTAGGAAAAAACATATGTAGGAAGGCGTGGTCCGTGGCCGAACCAATTGTCGGAACGCGAAACATCGTGTCGTGCTTTCCTACCATACACGCTGTTGTGCGTGAGCTCGGTGTCACAAACGCACTATCCACAACCGCGCCATTAACCAAGCACGCCCTCAGCGCGGCCTTGGTTACCCCCAGCCTGTTTCCGACGGTCCTGGCCCAGACGTGCTCGCGTCGTCAGACCCAGGCAGGATGCGCCTCGGGAAACACCGAGGCGGGTGGCTGTTCCTGGTTGTCGGCCCCCCGGGTCTCGCCTCGGGGCGCCCGCCAACGCCACCGCCGAGTATCGCAGCTCGCTCCTGCGCCGATGCAGACATCTTTATAACGCGAAGCTCTCCCTAGGAGGGGCGTGCCGCTCACTCTTACAGTGTGAGCGGGACGCCTTCTGGGAGAGAGCTCTGGACTGAGATGTGGACGGGCGAGTAGAGGCACTTTCTCAGTGTGCCCGCCCATCCACTGAATTTCCCCCGAAGGCGGACTAAGGCAAGGTTTGCCATGTTGGTTCTGGCAGCAACAAACATCTTGTCTCGAGGCCCCTGCCGCGCCCCTGGGCCGTCAAGCAACGGCTCGGGATGGGAGGCGGGGCCCAGGGAAGAGGTCGAGCAGTCCTGGGGCCCGTGTTCCAACACAGACAAAATGGACGAGGCGCCGGACGTCTGGGGACGGGGGCCCGTCTCGAGGCTCTGGGCCGCCGTGTGCCAATGCCCCCTTGCTGCTAGCTGCGTAAGTCAGATCCGGGTTATAGTGTGCCCATTATCGCTCATGTGATGTGGATTAGACGTGAGAAGCTGCAGATGACGTTTAAGCAGCATAAAGTCTGCTGTGGTGTTCATGGAATAGGTTCTTGCCTTGGCACGGTGATCATCCTAGATGTGGTTGGTCCGGTGCAGTTACTGTCTTAAGACGTGCAGCTCTACGTCTTGTCTTTTTTAGACGCCCGTTCGTTGCATACCTTCCCTGCTCGACCGATCGGATTGTACATATGGACAGTGCGGGCTGCGAGGCCAGTGCGGACGGGCTGCGAGGCCAGTGCGGACAGAACGGGCTGCGAGGCCAGTGCGGACAGAACGGGAGCCCACCTCCGAGGGGTGCGTCGGCGCCGAGACCAGCGGGGCCGCACGTCCAAAGTGGGCGCCGCTGCTGCCGCCACGGGCTGCGAGGCCAGTGCCTTGGCATCGCTCGGACGTGTGCATGTTTCCTTCGGCGAGGACCATGGAGGAGCATCCTCTGTAAGAACGGTTTTTTGAAGGCAGATCTGCCTTCAAAAGAACGGTTTTTTGAAGGCAGATCTGCTTTCAAAAAATCTGTAAGAACGGTTTTTTGAAGGCAGATCTGCCTTCAAAAAACCGTTCTTACAATTTTGAAGGCAGATCTTCCTTCAAACAACCGTTCTTACAGAGTAGACGATCCTTTGGCGAACAAGCCACGCACGAAGCCGAACAAAAACCCAGGGAGTGGACGTCCGAGCGATGGCCAGGTGCGGGCGGAGCCGGAGGAGGAGGAGGAGGAGGAGGAGGAGGAGGAGGAGGAGGGAGGAGGGAGGAGGGAGGAGGAGGAGGAGGAGGAGGAGGAGGAGGAGGAGGAGGAGGAGGAGGAGGAGAGGAGGAGGAGGATGGAGTGGACGTCCGAGCGATGGCCAGGTGCGGGCGGAATTCGGGGCCCACCTCCGCGGGGTCCTCGCTGGGCCGCCGCCCGCCGAGGGCCGCCGGAGAGCAGAGGCCGCCCGCGCAGGCGCGCGCGCAGGCGCCGGCGCCGCCCCGCGGCGCCCGAGGCCCCCTCGAGTCCTGAAGAAATCACGACGGGAGGTTTTTTTGTGTTTTCGGCCTCCGGGGGCCCTGACCGGCCCTCGGGGCCGGCCAAAAACGACTCGGGGTGAAAAACCGGTCCCAGCGAATAGGTCCGGACGATTTGGGGGTCGCGTCATGAAAAAATCATGACGTCGGGGGTCTGGGAGTGGGGCAGCAAGAACAGCGCCCCAACTTAGCGGGCCCTGGAAACCACAGGGCCGTTTTTTTTACCGGTTCCGTTATGCCTTTTGTTGCCGGTTCCGACGCCGTTGTTTTACCGGTTCCGTCGCCGTTGTTTGACCGGTTCCGGCTCTGGTTCCAATCCTGGAGCCGTTTTATGTTGCCGTTTCCAGTCGCCTTTTTTTGCCGTTTCCGTTTTCGAGGGACATCTTTTTGGAAACGGTGAAAAAACGGCCCTGCCGTTTCCGGGGCCCACAAAGCGCCGCACGGAGGGCAGCAGCACGACAGCGAGCAGCACGGCAGCGAGCTGCCCCCCCCACGGAGCGCGTGAAGGTCGTTGAGGAGCCGTCAGAGGAGCCCTCCGTAGAAGTCCTTGGATTAGGGCCTAGAACCGTTCTTCGTGACTGCGCCGGTTGGCGTCCGCGCGACGCCCACGTCCAGCAGGCGAAGCGGCTCGGGACGGATGCGAACAATCCATTTTCAGAAGCAGGACGCGAGGGTTCACAGCGAGTGCGCTGGATTCGTCGGCGCGGCATCTCAACGCCTTCGACAGCGACACCTTCGGCATCAGCGCCTTCGGCAGCGGCACTTCCGACAGCGACGCCTCCGACGGCAGCGCTCTCGACTGCGGCGCCTGCGACAAGAGAGCCTCCGACGGCATCGGTCCCACCTCCAGAGACTACTGAGGCTGCTGATGATGACTCTGTACAATGCCGTTTTTTTTATACATGCTCCGCGTGCGGATCATGTATTAAAAATGCAGGGATTTAGCATTAAAACCAAAGATGAGTTCATGCATAAGTTCATTCATAAATGAGTCATGTATTAAAAATCGTATGTTTTTAAAATTCCTATGTATTGAAAGCTGCCCTGTACTATTTCTCTCTCGCACGCGCTCCCATCTTCGCCCGTGGAGATTGTGCTGTCCCGCGGCGCCTCGTTCACCAGCACTTTCGCCAGCATCGATTGCCTCTTCGCCAGCGTTGGCTCCGAGTCTCTTGCTCAAAACCCGGCGTTCCTATTGCGGCCTAGCCCTGAGTTCGGCACCTGAGCCTGAGATGCGCACTTCGGCACCCCCTATGGGAACAGCAGGGGCCCCCATATCTAGAGGGCAGACCCTCCTCCTCCTCCTCCTCCTCCTCCTCCTCCTCCTCCTCCTCCTCCTCCTCCTCCTCCCCTCACGGTCGTGTCAGTGGGCGTGAGGGTCAGTTAGCTTGTTGGAGCATGCTCATAGAAGGGAGGTCTTGAGGTCGAGGTCGCCAGACATCCGGCGACGTGGTCGTTTCCAACGTTCTTGCCCCGGACTTCCCGGCCGTTTTCCCGAGGATACCTGCTCGTTCCAGGACAGTTGTTTGAGATCGCATGATGGCGATGATTCGCAGGCCCTGCAGGCCAGAATGGAGGAAACTAACGCCAGCATTCTGGAGATCAAATTGTTAGAGATCTGAGTTGCCACCCCCCTGGGACGCTCTCGACGAGTTGCAGCTGCTGAGAAGCATCCCGCGGGGAGAAGACCTGCGAACACATTCGAATGTTTATGGGATATTCTGAGCTGTATGGAAACATTCGAGAGCATTCGAAAACGAACCACCTAATTCATCCGCAACCTTGCGGGGCTCTCCTCCGCGCGAGGAATACCTGGGGACCCAAGGGCGAGAAGGCCTGGGCTTAAACAGTCTTATCGCTCAAGATCTAGGCTCGAGGATCGAACTTCG